GGGGCACTGATGGCGGGCTAGCCCAAGATCACCCCCTTGTCCGCCCCGCCCCCCATAAATTGAAACGACCAAATTCTATGCGTAGTCACAGGAGGAAAAGATGCCGAGGCCGCCTGGGAGTTTTTCTCGGGAGCTGGTGGACATTCATTTACATCCTGTTGAATGTAAGGGGACCCTCCATGTGCCGGGGCGTTTCTAGGAGGCAGGGAGGAAGAGGTGACCCCAAAATGCCATCCAAGGATTCTTGAGCTTTCACTCCAACCAGGGGCACAATTTGTAAAGCTGCTTGGAAGGATGAGATGGGGCACTCCCCCCTCCCCGGAAGTGGGGAAATCCAGGGTGTCTGGAGAACTGGGGTGTAGCTGGTTGACAGCTGAAGAGCAGTCCCGGAGAAGTGGGTCTCACTCACCCCTCCCTCCCGGAGTCTTCCCACCCGCAAGTGCGCACTTGCCAACTGCAGAGTAAGGAAGCAACTTGAGGTGGGGGTGAAGAGGGTACATGAGACCCCAGCCTCTGAGAAGAACAGGGTCTCAGCTGGGGGTGCCCAGCGCAGGCTGACCCCCAAAGAACTGAAATCTGCAGGTTGGCAGCAAAATGGGGCAGAGTGGGGAGGGGCCAGTTTCTTGCACTTGTTCTGTGACTTGCCTGAGGCAGCCCTGTGGGGTGCACCAGGTGACCCCAGTGCACAGTCTAGGATATGGGAGCAGCCTGTGAGGAGGGAGGGCTGGCTGGCCTCTGCCCGCCTGGCTCTGCACGGGGAGCACGTCCTCACCCCCTGCTTTCGTTTTTCGGTTCCTTGGTTCCTCTGCGTCAGGTGTTTCTAACTGGCCTGGGAGAAGCTGTGCTTTCTATTTTGGGTTTCAGCATCCTCAGGCTCAGCAGCGGTGGAGAGTGGGGTGGGGAAGTACTCTTCTGTAAGAGATAAAGGCCAGGTGTCCCCAGTGGGAACCAAGCTGGGGAAATGTCCCCTCCAGAGCCTGTTAAAATTTGTGCTAAAAGCTCTTGGGAGAATTCTGTGGTTCTGACCCAAGCGACCAGGCCACGTTCCTGGGAAGGGAAGCCACTCTGCCGGGCCCCACTGCCTGGTGTGGTCCTGTGGCGTGCGTGGTGCGTGTCCCCTCTGCGGTGACCTGCTGGGAGCCATCTTCCACCCCAGCCCTGGCTGGAGCAGTTGGGCAGGGACAGGGTGTGTGAAGTCTTTGCTGCCCCTTGCCACAAGCCCTGGGAGGATTGTTGCCAGCCCAGACAGCCTGTGATGGTTGTGGAAGGAAGGGAGAGAGAGGGGAAGAGCAGGAGGCGATTAGCACCTGGTGCGTCCTGGGAGAGGGCAAGAGGAAAGTCTCCTGAGGACATTTGCTTCCTGATGCATCTGGAAGGAGCCTGCTCTTCCTTGCCTCGTACCTACAGAGCGCTGCTCAAGTGGGGTAACTCAGAGCCCGCTGCTCTGCTCCACGAGAGTGGGTGCCCAGATGGGGACCCGCCTTTGCCGTGGGACGCCGCAGGTGCTGGGGAGGGGTTGAGCAGGGAAACTGGCTAAGCCCCGCCCACCGCACTCCTGTAGGAGCTGGAGGACCTGCAGAAGGCGCTTCCCCCATACCTGCGCAGTCTGACCAGTGACGATGCCAGCGTCTTGGTGTGGCACGTGCTGCTCCTGCCCGTGAGTGTCCCAGGGGCTCCTGGCCTTGGGTTGGGGCGACGTAGGCCCGGGCCAGGGCAGGGAGCGGAGAGGGAAGGCCGTACCTGCCTTTGCTTTGAACGGAGGTTATCAGTGGTCTTTCTGGTTGACTGCTTCTGCGGTCCAGGGCCGCTGATGACAAGGCTGAAAGGCTTCTGGATGGAGGCGGAGACCCTTCCTCAAACACTGGCCTGCATGCCCCCCACAGGAGCTTCAGCAGACAAACAGCATCCAAAAACAGAAGAAAGAGGGCGCTTTCCTCGCTAAGGATGGCCCTGTCCATCCTTAGGCTCATCCCGTTGATCTGACCCGTTTTTCAAATGAGGAGACTGCGGCCGTGGTCCTGTCCCCGCAGCCAGGATCTGCCTTGCGCGGCTCCCAGGCCTCTACCCTTTTGTGACCCCACTCTTCATGCACCTGAGGCCTGGTCTCCCCAGAAACAAGGTGCCATCGGGGTCCTTGTCCCTGATCCTTCTTAAGCAAGGAGCAGGAGATGCTGGGGCCAGGAGAGGAGGGGAGCTAGCCCTCAGCCCTGGGAGGCACAGCTGTGCCTCGGTGCCCAACTCGACCCCTTCTCTTGCAGGAGCGACCACCCTACAATCTCAAGGCCTTCGGTCTGCGCCTCAACTTCCCCAATGATTATCCCTTCAAGCCACCCAAGGTGACCTTCACCACCCAGATCTACCACCCCAGCGTGGACGTTGATGGCCAAGTTTGCCTGCCCCTCATCAGCAGCCAGGACTGGACACCTTCCACCAAGGCCTGCCAAGGTGGGACTGGACCTGGCCTGAAGGGAGAGATCCCTGGGTAAGGGGGGCGGGGCTCAGTGACTCTGAGTCAGAAAAGCCCAAAGGAAAGGCGATAAAATGGGGAGTCTGTTGTCAGATAAGTGGGGTGATGCTGAGATCTCGGCTGGGCTGTCTGCACCTGCCTCTGTGCGATACCTGGGCAGGTGTGACAGAACCGGGCCGCTGTGGATCCTCACAGAGAAGCAGCTGGGCTGTGGAGGGAAGGATTTGGACAAGAAGACCACTGTGCCTTGGCCACATGTCTGTTCCTCTCTGGGTCTCAGTGGCCTCTATGGCAGTTGAGGGGACTGACCAGATAACAATAATTCCCACCACTTAGTTGAGCACCCCAGCACTGGCAGCTCAGAGCGCCACTGAACCCCCCAGCATCCCCATGAAGTGCCTCCACTGGCATCATCGAGTAGATGAGGACCCCGAGGCCCGTGAGAGCTCGAATGCCTGCTCACGAAGGTCCTCCAGCTGTCAGGAGAGCGGGGCCTGGATACGGCTCAGATGCCTCTGGACTTCCGGCAGTGGAATGTTCTGGAAAGGCACTTTCCGCTTGCTGCAGCCTCGTGTCACTCTTGAGCACTTGAAATGTGTCTCGTATAACAGGAACTGGATTCTTGATTGTGTTGCCCTTTAATTACTTTATATAAAATATAATCAGGCATGGCTCCGAATGACCCCACTGGGCGACTCAGCTCGGGCTCCTGGGCCTATTCAGTGAGCCATCTGCCCGGTGCCTGGCCAGCTCAGGACAGCATAGCCTGGGACGTGGGGTGGAGGAGGCCAGGGCAGAATGGTCCTGGGATGAGCTTCAGGGAGATGCTGGGATGAGCAGTCTGGGAGATGGGCCACCACCTTGACCCATTTCCCAGAGGCCTCTGCGAAGAGTTAAAGACCACGGGAGCCCCCTTTTCTTAAGCAGAGAGAAACAGTGGTTCTCCTTGAAAAGGGAGCGGGGCCCAGAAGCCCTGTTTATGTCACCCACGCCCTTGGAGCTGTGGAACATCGTGCAAGAACCTCTGATGCAGGCAGCCGGACAGCCGGACAGGGCGCTGGACAACAGCAGCAGGATGTGAGGGTGTCAGCCCTCTGACCGCAGAGTCAGCCCAAGAGATGGGCCCTTCTTGCTGTGTGTGGGGGCTAGGGGGCCTTCCAGGAGTGTGCAGAGTTTCAGGGGCTGTGGGGCGGGGCCCCATCTCCCCATTCCCAGGATCTTTTTCTCAGTCACCCTGACCATGACCTGGTCTCTCCCCCCAGTCCTGGAGGTCCTCAACGAGCTGGTGAATAGCCCCGAGCGGGGGGAGCCCCTGCGGTTGAAACTTGCAGAAGAGCTGGAACAGGACCCCGGCCTGTTCGACGAGAATGCCAGAGAGTTCACCCTCCGCTTTGGGGTGGACCGGCCCTCCTAATTCTTCCTCTGAACCCGCTCTGCTCTGGACCCTCCCCTCTTTTCCTGATGGACAACTGTGCCTTTTTGGACTGGGGGCAAAGCTGAGCCTACTTTGCTCATTTTTTAACGACTTGTCAGTGTGTGTGTGTGCACGTGCGTATGCGTGCTGTGCTGTGGGCCTGGGTGTGTGTGGGTGTTGTATGAACCCACTTCCAGGCGTAGCTGGACATCTGTGTGCCTCCCTCACTGTGCTCCAGAGCCAGGGGGTTTAGGCTGTGGCTCTCTGGTGCTCTCTGGCACAGTGAGGTCTCAGCAGTTGCTCCATTTAGAGACGGGTCACCTGCCCGCCCAGCTTGCAGATGAGCGCAGCAGCCAACCACAATCAGGGCCCCAGCACTGGAGTTCGGGGGGCAAAGGGCACTACCGGGGGGCACATGGAGGGAGTCATATTTATGATGGAATGATTGGTTGGTTGATTGATTGCATTAGTCAACTTACTGACAACAGGTCCCAGGGTAGGCGCTAAACCTATTGCTAAACCTGTTCTTTTCCACTGAGGAAGCACGGAATGAAGAATCTAATCTCCATCCCAGAAATCTGACTCTGTGGTTTCAAGCCCCTGGGTTGTCGGTCCCTGGGGACTGGGCTTCAGGCTGGAGCAGTGTCTTCCCTGGCTTCTGTGTAGGAGGCGCCCTGGAAACCACATGCTCACCCAGCCTTTGGAGTCCCAGATGAATCCGGGGCCTGGCTGAGCAGTGGTTGAGGGGGTGCGGTGGTTTCATCAGAAAGGGGTAAATAACCTGCTTCCCATGAGCTGGTAGCTCCCTGCGTCTGAGGCCCATGTAACCCCAAATATTGTGGGCCAAGTTGTCATGAGAGATCAGGCCATTCTTGGCCAGGGAGTCTTGTCCTGGCGGGGCAGCCCCCCATTCATAGTTGAGGCCCTGAGGCCCAGAGCACTTCCGCCGATCGCCTGTCCACCCCTCCTGCCCAGCGCCGGGCTGGCTGCCTTTGTCGGGCTCTCACGAGTTGTTCTCCTCGGCGCCAGGCGCCAAGCCAGACAAGCATGTCGGCAGGAGGCCATACCACCTCAAACATGGGAAGACAAAAGCCAGGCAAGACTCCAGCCAGAGCTGGAAGGGTTAACGTAACCAGCAGGAACGACTTTCTGGTTACAGCTGTCTTGAGCTACTGGAAAACCACTGGTTTTCAAGAGACAGAACATGAGGTGTCTTTGAGTCCAGGGGGTTACCCCAGGCCCCACTCATCAACCCTGGGGGAGACGTCTAGACAGTGTTCTACCTTGAACCCTGCCCTGGAATTACTTAAGCTGGGAGAGAGTGGAGAGAGGGAAAGAACTGGGAAGCCTGCCCACCCCATACCGAAGGCTGTGTGCCAGGCACGGGGTCTCCCCCCGCCCCATTCTCCCACTCACCTCCACGGGCTGGTCCTCCCATTATCCCCTTCCAGATGGTACACATGGGCTCAGAGAGGTCAACTCACAGCGCAAGGTCACACAGCCCAGTTGCTCTTCCTGATGCCCTGCACAATTGCTGCCCTGGATTTGTTATTCCAGAGAGGGGTGGGCCGGGGAGGGAGGGAGCACTGAAGGGGCCGGCAGGGCTCTAGCAAAGGACTTTAATGGACTTAGGACTAGGGCTGCTGCCCTTCCAAGCCCAGCTCTGCCCACGGGGCCGGCGAGCTCTTCACTTCTTCTTGGTCTTCACCAGACCCTTCTGCACGAGGCTGCGGTACAGCTCCTGGATGTAGGTGTAGACGCACTTGGAGTCGGGCACAGCCAGACGCACCATATCATCCACCTCTAGCAGCTGGGCACAGTCAGCCAAGTTCCTGAGGGCAGGGGTGGGGCGGGGTGAGGAGCAGAGGTGAAGGATGAGGGCGCTGGGCGGGTGGGACAGCCCCTCCGCATGGACCCACAGAACGGGGCAGGTTGGCCTTGCCGTCACTGCACTGCGGGTCCTCACGTGTGCGCGGGCCCCTCTGGTCTCAGTTCTTGTCATACGCGTGCCTGTGTCCCCTGGGATCCAGACCAGGCCCCTCAGGGGAGTCACAAGGACGGGATTCCAGCCGAGCAACAGCTTGCAGCTGCACCCCGCTCCTCTCCACTGAGCCTCCTGCATTTATTGGGAGCCTCTATGCCAGCAGGGAATTCAGCTCTGAACAAGACCAAAGCTCGTGTCCCCCTCGTGGCATGACACTGTCATGGCAGAAGAGCCAATAACCCAAAGCTTGCAGCACTGCGTGTCGGAGAGGGGAGGAGACGTGGAGAAGAATACGGCAGGGCGGCTGTTTGGGTCTGTTCCTGCGCTACAGGGGGAGGGTATCTTTTTAAAATTTATTTATACAGGGCCCTCCCGGTGGCGCAGCGGGTTAAAGCACAGCACTGAGAATCTAAAGCCGCTTCCGCATGAGTTCGATTCCCGCCTGTCCCGGAGGTGACCACATGGTGTGGCAGACCTCTCCTGACCCCCCCGCTGCTCCCCTCAGCAGTGTACTTCATCCATCTGCCTGTTCTACTCCCCACTCTGTCTCTGGTGAAGCCTCTCACCACCCCTGAGCCTCTGGCCTGTACCCCAGTTCTGTATGCACAAATAAATAAATCTTTAAAAAAAAATTTACTTATGCATACAAGAACTGGGGTGCAGGCCAGAGGTGCAGGGGGTGAGAGGAGTCTGGAGACAGAGTAGCGCACAACAGGCAGATCCACTGAAGTCCACGGCTGAGCAGGGCAGCGGGCGAAACGAGGTCTGCTGTGCCATGTGGGTCCCTCCCTGGCTGGGCATGGAACTTGTGCAGCTGTGGCTGTGGGCAGCGTCACAGTGCTGTGCTTTCACCCCTTGCACCACCAGGGAGGGCCGTGGAGGATATTTTTAAATCAGGCACTCATGGAGGTCGCTTGGAGATTGAGCAAATCATGTGCCTATCTGGAGAAGATGACTCCAGGCCAGGAGACAGCATGTGCAAAGGCCCAGGGGCAGCAGTGCCGGGTGTGCTTGAGCAACTGCAGAGGACTTGGCAGCCCTTTCTGGAGCTTTCCAGCTGTCCCTGGGGCGCGTGCTGCTCCTGGCTTTACTGAGGCTGATAATCTGAGCTAACCATTACCATATGCCCAGTGCTTTATCAAGTCCTTCTCATTTATTCCTCCCTTCCAGCTCCACCAGAAAAGGAACTGGACACTCAGAGGGTTTTGGCGATTTGCCCAAGGTCAGAGTGACACAGCTGGGTGGCTCAGCCCCAGGCTTGCGGGTGCCTGTGGCATCTGTGCCCTGAAGCCAGCTCTTGGCAGCCCCAGCGTGCCCAATCACCATGGGCGCTGGCAGCAAGAGTCCCCGCAGACATGCTCGCTGGGGGCTGAGACAGCTGGGCAAAAACCCAAGTCAGCTGGCCTGGGAGCTGGCGGAGGGGCAGAGGCTGCAGGATTTCAAAGACAGCACAAGCTCCCTGCCACCAATGCAGTGATCCCGACTCCTAGACGCAGGTGGGGTGCTGTTCCTCTAACGCGAGAGAGGCAGAAGGCTTTGCTCCCCCTGAGCGTGGGGAGTGGGGTCAGACCCTCCAACTGCACCACTGATTGAGGCTGGGGGGTGGGGTGGGGGTGGGCTCGAGCTCTGGCTGTTCCTTCTGCAAACCAGGGCTCCTTGGGAATCAAGGGGGGGCGGGGTGTGACCGCTGAGGCAGGGCCTCCTTACTTTGCACACTTAATTTTCTCACCAAACCCTAATGGAGGTGAAGTCAGCTGCAGAGGTCACAGAGGTTGTCCGGGCTCAGAATTCCAACTAAGCTCCTCAAATTCGACTCTGTCCTTGTCCCTTGCATCCGGCTCACACCCTTCCCTTTCCTGCCTGTCACCTTCGCTTTATTCCTGCTTCCTGTGGCTCCGCTTGGCTTGGCAACAAGGCCAGTCAGCTCCCAGGGGAGAAGGATGAGCCAGGCCCCACAGGCCGGGGCCAGCCGGCTGGGGGGTGCCTCATGCCTCTGATGCCACATCCTAGCCACGACTCACTTCCAGATCCCGGCTTTGCCGCTGCCCTCCTGTGCAGACCTAAGACACCCACCCGCTTTCCACTTGTGCCCACACTGTGGGGGCCCGTGAGCATCTTGTGATGCAACGAAAGCACCTGCCAGAACTGTTCATGTGGCTGGTCTTCATCACTTCTTCCTGGACAGGGGCTCCTATCCTGTCCAGAACAGGGGCTCCTGACCCCTCTCTCCTCCCACCCCAGGGCACTCACCCCAGCCCTTCACAAGAAGTATTAAGCTGGAAGAGATCCTCAGCCTGTGGCTTTTAAATGGCATCCTTGGGTCCTCAGCCCTGAGATGAGCTCCAGGGAGCACTTGGGGCTGGTGGGGGTGTGGCAGATGCCGGGCTGCTGTGCTCTGGGAGTTCTCCCAACTCGCAAAGGCCCCCCTTTAGTCTGCAGTATTTGTTGGGTGACCGCTGAATATGTTATTTGCAGAAATCTACTCAGAAAGTAAAACCAGGGGCCCTCCCTGGTGGCACAGCAGGTAAATGCAGCAATAAGAAGCTAAAGCCACTTCAGCACAGGTTCAATCCCCAGCCCTGGAGGTGACCCACATGGCGCAGCAGACCTGTCCTGACCTGCCCGCTGCTCCCCTCGTCACTCAGCCTGTTTTGCTCCCCACTCTGTGTCTGGTGAATCCTCTCACTGCCCCTGCACCTCTGGCCTGTGCCCCAGTTCTGTATGCATAAATAAGTGAATCTTTACAAAAAAAGAAAGTAAAACCAGGGCCTCCTTGGTGGTGCAAGGGATTGAGTCTCAGCAGCTTGAGTTTGATCCCCTACCTGGGAGCTGACCCACATGGCTGGCAGACCTCTCCTGTCTCCCTGCTGCTCCCCTCAGCAGTGGATTTCAGTCGATCTGCCTGTTCTGCTCCCCACTCTGTCTTTGGTGAATCCTCACCTCGCCCCAACCTCTGGCCTGCATCCCAGCTCTTGTATACATAAATAAATAAATCTTTAAAAAAAAGTAAAACTACTTGAAAATCACAGACCGATTTCAGTCACTTTGCTGTGGGGACGGGTGGGCCCAAAGAGGGACGGGGCTGACCCAGGCTCCCCTCAGATTGGCTCAGCACCTCCCAGCCAGGGTGCTACTCATGTCCCAGCGACTTCTTCCCTGTTCAGAGATTTAGAAATGCACCCCTGGGTCTGTGGGGTCCCCCCTGGCCACCCCTTCCATGTCACTCTGCACAGTCCTGTCACCACCAGCCAGTCCCTGGGGCTGGGCAGAGCAGGAGGCTCCCGGTCTGACTCCTCGGGACCCCAGGGTCACTGGGGACACTCAGCCCTTCCTGGTGGGCGCAACTGGAGGCCACGCTCCGGCTGGTGCTGGCTGTTGGGTCTCGGGAAAGCCTCCGCCGCCTCCCGCAGCCACCACCCTCAGCGTCTCTGATTCTTTCTTGGGTCTCACTCCTCACACGCCTGCCTTTCTTTCGAGGACCACCCCTTTCTCCACCACCCCAACACCTCAGCACCCAGCTGTGTGGACCTCAGCCTGCAGGGTGGACTGGAAAGAAGTGGCCACCCTGTGCTATCATGGAGGCTACCACAGGCACAGACTGCTACCAGCAGTCTTGACTTCTCTGCAAGTCTTTGCAGGGGGTTCGGTGTGGTTAGAGCAAACTGAGTAGTTCTCACAAGACACATCGGGTCCACGTTGGAGGTCACAGCCTGTGGCAGCCCAGTGAGGTAAAGGCACCTGGCCACCACGGGCCAACATAGGCTGTGGTCAAGGCCGGATCGCTGCCCCTGGCCAGCTGGGTCCCCCACGCAGGCCACACTGTTTGCCCCGTGTGGGTGTGAGCTTCTGCTCTCCGGCCGGCCCGCTGGGTTCTGCCAATATTGCCTCATCCTGAAACTTCCTGGTGCTCAAGAACCGTTGGCTACAGGGCTGGGTGGCCACTGCCTCTCTCTGACCCCCCAAGTACCACCCGCCCCTACCACGCCCCTCCACGGCGGGGGGGTTGGTCCAGCACTGGCCTTGGGCACCCGGGCTCCCCCTCCGCTGCCACCCCAGCTGGGGCTTACTCGGCGGTGTCGAAGGCCAGGGTGAAGTTGTGCCGGCGCTGGGTGGGGTCCAGAGCAGCGTAGTCAAAGGCGTCGGGGAAGAACTTGTGAATGAGGGCGCAGAAGGCCATGCCGCTGCTCCAGCTCGAGGAGAAGTTCTGGATATCCACGTGCTGTGGGCGCCCGTCCTCAGTGAAGCAGCCCCAGGGCCCCTCGCGGCCCCCACCTTCTGGGCGCCCCCAAGCCGCGC